ACAGCGCAAGGTCAGCCGAGTATGGTGAGCAACACATCTCATTTAAGCTCCAATAATTTTTGACGGGTGGTCAAACTTGTGTGTGATCTCGCGTTATCGTGATGGAACACAACTCCTTTACGATTAAGCTCTGGACATTTCTGGATGATGGATTTGTTCAAACTGTCCAATTGCCGACAATACACATTCGAATTGATTGTTTGGTTCCTTGATAGGAGCTCGAAAAATGCGACACTTTTAAAATCCCATCACAATGAGAGCATAACCTTCCTTTGATGAATGTTTGCTTTTGATGTCGTTTGAGGCGAATCATCACATCGGGATCAAGACTGTTTGCGCACCACATTGTTGTAAACAATCCACTTCTCATCATCATTATCAGTCGCTTCAAACAAGGATCGTTGCTTATGTTTTTTCCTTATGTTTAATGCGCATATCGCAGATGTTTATACGTGCTGTCAAATGAACTTCTTTGAGTTCATGAAGAATCCAAATATCGAGCTTGCTTACGTATCCCAGTTTTTTCAGATGGTCATGAACGCTAGAATGATGGATGTTCAATGTTTCTGCAATCTTTCGTGTCGTGTAACGTGGGTTTGACTCGATCAATCTTTTATTTTATTTTATTTTATTTTATTTTATTTTATTTTATTTTATTTTATTTTATTTTATTATTTTGTCATTATCAACTCGGTAGGCCTCTCTAATCGAGGAGCGTCATTGAAGTCAAAATCACCGGCACAGAATTTCGTGAGATTATCGTTGGCACGTTTTTGTAGAGCATTGTTACCGTAAACTTTACGCAACTTTTCACAAGCTTGAGGCGCGTTCTTTCCTTTACGAAAACAGTAATATATGGCAAAAATGCACAGTTTGGTTTTCCATCTTCAACTTGTTATAAAATTTCCAAAACTCAATCAAATCGCTCAATTTTTTTTAGAATAAAGCTAGAACTGTCAGTTGTCAAATGACATAGCAATAACATAGATGCAAATGACTCTAGAATGATTCTTTTCCAAAAATGAACTAGCGCCATCTATTAAAAATGCGTCATGATTTTTCCAACAACCCAATACAATCCTCTAGGTCTATAAATCATGAAAATACAAAATGACCTTGAAAATATTTTTAGAATTTCAAAGTCATGCCAATGTCAAAATGTTAGTTTTAAATAAACATAAATACCGAATATGAAATCCATACGATTAAAAATAAAAATTTTCAAAATGGCGCCAGAAAAATTTTAAAATTAAAGTACAAAATTGCGTTATTCACGATCCTCTAGGTCTATAGATCATGAAAATGAAAAATGACCTTGAAAATATTTTTGGAATTTCAAGGTTATACTTATACCAAAATATTAGTTTCAAATGGACATATATAAATGCTGAATTTGAAGTACATACGATTAAAAATAAAAATTTTCAAAATGGCGGCCAAAAAAGTTTACAATAGCTTAAAATACAAAATAGCGTTATTTACGATTTATGTGTGAAAGAGAAAGCGAAGATAAACAAGGAAGAACGAAGGAGAAGGAGGGAGAAGGAGAGAGGGAGGGAGGGAGGGAGGGAGAGAGAGAGAGAGAGAGAGAGAGAGAGAGAGAGAGAGAGAGAGAGAGAGAGAGAGAGAGAGAGAGAGAGAGAGAGAGAGAGAGAGAGAGAGAGAGAGAGAGAGAGAGAGAGAGAGAG